GATCGTCAGCTGATTTGTTTTGACAATGTTTGGATATTCTGGATGTCAGGAGGTGCGGGGAGTATCGTGATTGCCGGGGCCAGTCCCCTCCAAGAGGCCGCCCCCCCTTCGCAAAAGGGCTGCCCCCTCGGCCTCCCCCTCGTCCTGCCACCCTCGGGCGCGCCGCCAGGTGCAGCAGGCACATCCTGTGGCAACTCTTGCCATACGAAGTTGAGGGTCCAGGCACATCCGTCGTCCACTCCGAGCTTCGCAGGGCGGCCCAGGGCACTGCGGCCCCATCTGGAGATAAAACAGTATCGCGGGGCACCCGTTGGCAGGCCAGTTTCTGACGTGGCGCATCTGCTGCACAACACTCGAGCTTTCCCTACACAGGGGAGCACACTCGGGCCCACGGCAAGGGTGCAAGGTGCAGACGCAAGAGCCTCGGACGCCCCCGCCGAACGAACAACCTGGCTACACGCGACCAGCCAACTCAAATGAGGATGGGCTGAAGAGCCGAACACGCAGGGACGCCCCCATGCCACTCCACCGGGTGGCCCGTCGCGACCACCCCACGCGCATCTCGGAGCGGCTTGAGACACCGGGAGCTCAAAATCGGTCCCCAGGCCCTTCCAGGGGTCCAAACGAAACAGTTCTCCGCGCTGCATCCAGCCGTGGAGACGAGGGGCCCCCCCGAGGAGGGCCCCCCCGAGGAGGAGGAGGAGGAGGAGGAGGAGGAGGAGGAGGAGGAGGAGGAGGAGGAGGCAACCCCCAACGCGATCCAAGCCCCACGCCCCGCGAAGGACAGCCCGCGCTTCCCCACCCCCTCTACGCGATCCGGCTCCCCGCGCTTCTCCCCGAGCAGCTCGGAGGAGCCCTGCTGTGGGACTCGACCGCACGCGGGCCCCCGCCTGCCCCTCGAGAGCTCTCGACTACACGCAAGAGTGATTCTGGGCAAGGGTGACCCTGGGCAAGGGTGACCCTTGGTGCGCGGCTTCTGGGGGGCCGCGAGGGGGCCGAACACAGGCGCGCAAGGCGCTGCTGCCGCATCGCGTTCAGCGGTCGGGGTGCCACATTGAGCCCGCACCAGGGTCACTCCTGCGAACGGTCACTCTTACGTGTAGCCGATGCTGTGGGACTCGACTGCACGCGGGCCCCGCCTGCCCCGCGAGAGTTCCCGGCGCCCAAAGAGAAGGGGGTCAGTGCAAATCGAGGTCAGTGAGGGCGACGGACCTTGCAGGACCCTGCAGAGCCAGGAGTGCACTTACCCGGGCTTGGGCGCAGGATCCTGCAGTCTCCTGCAAGATCTTGCAGGATCCGGCAAGGCCTGACTGACCCGGGTCTGGATTGACCTAGGTCAATAGAGCCCCGAAGTTCTGCAGAGCATGGGCTCCCGGCCCTGGATTTTGTCTGATTCGCTCCTCTCAAACTAAAACGCGAGTCGGCCCGGCTCCTTCGGCGGGCGGCCGCGTGAGGGTAGGCCGCGGCCTGCTGCGGCAGCCAGGCGCTTCACAGCGTATGGGCAGACGCATGCAGCACAGCGAGGATGCAGCAGGCACTGCATGCTTGTGCAGCACGTTGAAGCATGCCTGAGCAGGCCAGGACGATGGAGGGGGACGGAGGACGAGGCTAGGGAGGGCCAAGGACCACAAGGCCACACTCACACGATGCTGCAACGAATGCTCCACTCGCTGTGCTCAACGAGACGAATACACCACCGTGATCGGGACCTCCGCCTTCTCGACACCGAAGTCTGTCATGCCAGCGCCAGCCATGCCGGACGACCCGCTACTCTGAGAAGAATCCTTCTTCACGTTCAAAGACAGCGCCGCGACCGGGTCCAGCACCTCGTCGTCCAGCATCTCCATGATGGCTCCGAAGGGGAGGCCGGTGACGTCCTGACCGTTCACCGTCTTCAGGGACCAGCCAGGCTGCACGCCGGCAACAAAGGCCTGACCCTGCGGGTCGCCCGGGTAGCGGGACTTCTGGGTCACCTCCATGACCGTCGCGCCGTTGCCGCCGACGCCCGGCGCGTAGCGGGCGATGCCAAAGGGGCGCTTCTTGTACTCCACCGCCTGGCCGGCCGGGGCCGCGGCCGTGTCCACGGGCGGGCCGTCAGCGTCCTTCGGGCCATTGCGCAGCAAGTAGTCCGTGCCCACGCGGCGCGTGACGGCCCGGCCCCGCAGCCCAGGCGTGGCGGGAGTGCCCACGAAGACGGCGCCGAGCACGAGCTGGCATGCCAGGACGGCAAGAGCCGCCAAGACCGCCAGGGACAGGAGCGGAGCGCCGCGAGCCATCGGGAGATGCACGAGAAAGGAACCGCGCCACTCGGACCAATGAGGAAGCTGGGCCAAAAATGCCTGAGCCAACTGCGCTTGAGCCACAGTGGCGCGGGTCAGGCTGAGCGGCCTGCTGGCGCGGCGAGCAGGGCTGCTGAGGCACTGTCACGCCCACGAGCCTCCCAAGCGACAGGTAGGGCTGGGCTGGAGGCCGCCGAGATGGAGCCAAAGCAGAGACGGTCGGAGGATCGCACCGCATCGGCCAGTGCATCGGCGATGCGTCGGCGACGTCGGGATGGAGAAGATCGTGCTCCGAATGATGCCGCATCGCCGACGTGTCGGTTTCGTCGCGAAATCCTCCGACCCCATCTGCTCCAGCCTCTTGGCGGCAGCAGGAGCGCGCCGCCGCCGCTCTCTGGCCGCACTGGTCCCCGGTATACTCGAGGTCGATGGGCAGCTGTGTGCGGCCCCTCCGCCGCCGAAACACGAGGGCGGCCTCGCGGAGCGACTTGGCGGACGAGCCCTCGCAGGAGCTAGACGAGACGGCGCACTCCTTGAGATTCAGCGTGGACCTCCTCGTGCAGAAGACCGTGAGGATCTTCGAACTTGACGTCCTTCGAGTCCTGGCCGCTGGCCTTGCTGGCCTCCCCGTTCCAGTTCGGCTGCACGCCCGACGCGAATGCCTGCCCCTGCGGATCGCCAGGGTGCCGCGAATTCTAGGTCACTTCCATGACCACCGTGCCGTTGCCGTTCGCCTTAGCGGCAGACCGCGTGACGACACAAGGCCTCTTCTTGTCCGCCACCGCGCTTGCAGTGGAAGGCGTGGCTCAAGGGCAGTGTACTTCGCTGCTACCTGATGCCCACCAATGACTGCAAGCCGCCCTTCGAAGCTCACCTTTGACTACCAAGTCCTTCGAACTTTTGGGCCTCCGCCTCACTTTCTCATTGTATCAAAGCCAAGGATATGATTGAGAACCGCATCTGTCAAGAAGCCTGGGCCGGCTCTCGACCAACACCTCGAGCAAAGGCTGGGCCGGCCTTGCGCGCGCTGCCCCGTGCGTTCGCGAGGTGCGCAGAAGCTGTGCCACACTCACCGCGGCCGCCGAAGAGCCGCTGGGCCAAGGCGAAGGCGAGAGGCTTCGTAACACGTCACTTCGGGCTGGATCCTTCGAGGGCCCTCGGACCCCGAGTATCCCAGAGCTCGCAGGGTCGCCACAGGCGGCCCAAGACTGGCCCAACACTTGCCCGACACCAGCCCAGAGACTGCCCCCGATCAGCCAACGATGGCGCCCATGCACGGCCTCCAGACCCCCGACGACGGCAACAGAACCCTCCCCCACGCATGAAGACCGCCCAGAAAGGCCCTGGGCATCACAAACATTCGACGCGGGGGTCCCCGGTGCCCAAGGAGCCCCCAAGATCGTCGCAAGACTGCCCATGAGGCCCCCAAGAGGGCCCCAAGACGGCCCAATAGAGCCCGAGGAGAACGAGGGCCCCAAGACGGCCCCAGGGGCCCCTAAGACGGTCCAGGAGGGCCCCAAGAGGGACAATACAACTGACATCTCGAGTCTTTCCCGCCGGGACGGCTCCAAGAGCCCCACAATGACCCCGGAGACGCCCCCAAGAGGCCCCCAAAGGCACCCATGAGGCCCCGAAGAGGCTCTGGAGAGGCCACCCCAAAGCCTATCGGATGCCCCCAATGAGGCCTCCAAGAGGCCCCTGAGAGCCATCCCAAGCGACCCTCATCACTCTGGCTGCTGAAAGAAGGAACTCGAAATAAGGAACTGAGCGCCTCTTTGGCACCAGAAGAGCCTGCGTGCACGAGGAGGACTGCAGGAACAACAACCGAATGACCTAAGGAACAGCGACCCCTTCCGAACCCAAAGCGGTCCCTATTTCAGCGTCGTGCATCCCCGAGGACCAGGCACGGTGGCACGAATCTTGACGAATTCACAGCGGAATGGTATAAGCCTCTTTAACATTAAGAATGCTCTACTCAGGATATGTGTTTGAGGTTTTCGCCTTGTCACCCTGGAGGGATCAAGATGGCCTCAGTTTGGCCTCGGAACGCCCTTCGGGCTGCAAATCAGGATGTGACGGAGGGTCCCATGACAGCCCCGAGACGGCCCCAAGACGGTCCGAGGCCTCTCTAGCACGGCCCAAGGATGGCCCAAGACAACTCCACGACGGCCACGACGTCCCCAGCCGAAAAAGGCGGCCCAAAACCCAACATGCTAGCCCCACGAGCCCGCATACGGCCCAATGGGCCCCAAATTAGGCCTCCCCCCGAAGCCGTCGACGTCGGGATCGTACTGCAACGTGGACCACCAGTCTGAGAACAATTGTTTCACCACGATGAGTGGCTTGACGGCCCCGGGGGCACGGTGAGGGAGCGCAAATGCGAAAAATCAGGAAATGCCACCAGCCCTCTGGGCGCAGGTGGTCTAACGATGTCCTTCTTTCCTCTGCCAAAAACCATTATTCCCTTCGGTGAGAAGTTTATCACTGTTCACTAGTAGTGCACACCCCCTCCCCCAGGCGACCAGCGACCAGCCAGGAACCATGTGGGCCCCCCCACATCCCCTGTCAACAAAAACAATACAAAACGCACTCTGCCTCCACATTTGGAGCATGCGCGGCCAACCCGATGCGCCCCCCCCCACCATCCCTCTCAAAAACAAAACAAAGTACACATTGGGGCAAAGTCTTGAGTCCTGTTCGTGAGGCCCGCGAGCACTGTGTATTATCTTGTTGCAAGGGACGGCGGGGGTGTCAGCATATTGCCTGCTGTGCGCAAGGTGACCTCTGGTGCGGGGCGCGGCTTGCCGATCGTCGATGCACGTCCGATGCGACAAAAGGGGGTCGAAGAATGACATAAACGTGAAAACTCTGAGGTCCGCGCGGATTTCTCGGATCCACGCTGGACCCCCCTCCCTGGGCGCCTCCGGCGCAGCCCCTGGCGCGCTCCGCGCGCCAGGGAGGGGGGTCCAGCGCGGATCCAATGAATCCGCGCGGACCTCCGAGTTTTTAGGTTCATGTTATTTTTCGATTCCCTAGCGCGTGCGATGCGACATGCAGCGACCAGCGCGTGCTCGGGTTGGGCACCCCCGTGCTTCCCGAGAGCCCGGCACCGGAGGCCACTCTCAGAGCAGCGCTTGGTATACGAGGCGTTGGCGCCGTGCCCCTGGGGGCCCCGCAGGGGCCGCAGGCCACCCCAAGAAGACAAACGAGACTAAAACAGGGCTAGGATCGGGATAAATCGCTCCAGAGCGTTCCGGAGCGCTCTCAGAGCGTTCCGGAACGCTCTGGAGCGGCCGCGGCGCCCAATACATCCTCCAAACCCGCCGATTCTCAGAGATTTCGAGTTATCCCGATCCGATTGTGTCCCGATCTTCGCGTCGTTTTAGAGACATCAGGAAGCAGGAAGAAGATCGGACCGGGTCGGATCGGCTGGTTGAGGTGGACAGATCGAGCCGGGTCGGCGGGTATCCCTGCCTCTGGCGAAGGGCCACTCTTGCGCGTGGCCGGAGGCAGGCGAGAGCGGGCGATCGCGACTGGGCCAGGCGAGCGAGACAAGGAATGACAAACGGGGCCCTGCGCACGAGGAGGCGTGTGGCGGGTTCGCGCCGCGGTGACGTCTGGTGCTGGTCTTCTGGGACCGCCCGGATCGCTCAGCCTTGAAACAAGCACGCACGCACAAGTCAAACGCCGAAGGCGTGTGGACGTTCCTAACACACGAAATGCCGGCTCACTCTGGCCCTCCGATCGGCTTGATCGGGGATGTTGCCCTGAACCATGCCAGCATGCTTCGCCAGTCAGCCGGCCCACTCATTCCGCGGGCGCCCCACCTTCCGGACAGATCTCCACGTCATAGTTTTTCGGCAGCGCGGATCGTTCGATGCCAGCCGGTTCTGAGCCGCTGGTGGCGGTCAACCGCGAACGCTGGCGATTGGGACCGCCGCCGCACCCTCGCATCACGAGGCGGATCGCCACACGCATGCTGGCCCACAGCGTGCCACGGAGGAGCGCCTGGCCAGCGGTGAACGCTCCACAAGGAGGAAAAAGAGGAGAGGGAGGAGGAGGCTCACGCGGCACACCTCAAGGAGAACAGGGAGCTTACGAGCGACCTTGCGAGGACATCTTACGCCCCACTATCAGCGCAGTCGACCTCTACAACCACGACTACCACCACCACCACAACCAGCCCCCAACTTCGTCGTCACTTCGCACTTCGCACTTATCACCTCTCACTCCTCCTCTCCTACCTAATCATTCCTCCGCCTCCTCCTCCTTCTCAACATCGTCATCATTATCCTCATCATCGTCCCCCGCCTTATCCCGCTCCCCTTCCTCCCACTCTTCCTCCTCCTCATCATCCTACCCTCCCTCATCCTACCCCTCCACTGCTCCTCCTCCTCCTCCTCCTGCTCCATCGCCAATCTGCGGTCAACATCATAATCAGCATCGCCAGCACCATAACCAGATTCATCATCGTGCTCGTCAGAATGAGCACCATCAACGTCGCATCATAAAACATCGGCATCTTCATCTTTAGCATCATGGCAATCCGTATTCTCATCATCGTCGCCGTCGCCATCATCAACCCCGCATTATCCGGCTTCCCCTCCTCCTACTCAATTCCGAAACACGTCCTCGTCACGCATCATCTCAATCCTCCACACCCGCCCCTTTCCCTCCTGATCATGATGAGCGGCATCAACCCTTGGACCCACCTCTCTCGTTATTCCTGCTCATCCCCTCATCTCCCTCCTCCTCCTCCTCCTCCTCATCCTTCTCCCCTTCCTTCCCAATCCCCCTGCACATCATGCCAAGAATCGCGGAACAAGGCAGAACGCATGACCAGTTTACCCAGAATCCGAAGGGTGCAAGTGTCCTCTGCTGCAAGGGATCACCCTTGAGGCCAGCTGTGACGCTATCCCACGTCTTCCACTTCCTGTCTCCTCCCCCTCCTGCCCCCCTCCTCACCCTCCCCCTTCTCTCAGCGACCTTGAACGCGACAGATTGAGGGGATCTAAATGTACAGCGCACTATTCTTATGAAGCGCCAACTCGTGATCCGCCCAGGGCCTGTGTTTTGTAAGTCGTGCGCCTGCTACACTCAGAGGCGCTGGTAGAGCCTATGCAAAACTGGATGCATGGCTTGCGCTCAGCAGCCAAATGCAATTCTTGACGCCTCGCGTACCCCCACGAGCCCATCCAGAGACGATGTCCAGAGAAGTTGCCTCGATCAGGGAAGTAGCACACAGAGGAAAAGTCCCTCTTGGAGCGCTCTTGGGGGCCTCTTGGCGGTCCTAGGGGCCTCTTGGAGGGTATTGGTTGCCTCAGGGAGCCTCTTGGGGCCTCTTGGGGGTCTCTTGGGCGCCTCTTGGAGGCCTCCTGGACGCCTCTTGGGGCCTCCTGGACGCCTCTTGCGTTCTTGGGAGCCTTGGGAGCGCTGTCAGGGTCATCTTGGAGGAGATCGCTCAAAAAAAAGGAGAGCTCCAATTACGGCCCCCCTCGGGAGCCCAAAAATGCTTGGACCCCTCTTGGAGCGCTCTTGGGCGCTCTTGGGCCGTCTTGGGGCTCTCTTGGGCCTCTCTTGGGGCTCCTAGGGGCCCCGTTGCAGCTGTCTTCAGGCCTCGGAAGGCCATCGAAGCAAAACGTCGAGAAGACCAAATTCATGGATTTTCCGTAGGTTTGGAAGGCTTTTGGCCTCTTGGCGGCCTCCTGGGCAGGTTCCATTGCCACTTGGCGCCATCTTGGAGCGGTCTTGGGGCCTCCTGGAGCATCTTGGGAGCCATCTGGAGCCATCTTTTTATTTGTTTTCCCCCTGGCAACCACGAGCGGAGTCGAGGCTTAGCAAGTCTCCCTGCCATCTGAGCGATGGCTTGCCGGCACGGGGGCACGGACGACAAAATACCCCAAACGATGACAGTATCATCTCGGCAATGGTCAGCAGGCACACTGCGGCGGCAACGCAAACGACTGAATGCCCCGCAAGACAAAAGGATCACCTCGTCAGTGGGCAACAGAATTGCCAGAAAGCACATGTGGCTTTCGGATTCAGACGGCTTGGAAGACCAACTAAAAGAAACTGCGGGTTCAACACACCAACAAAAATCGAAACCACTTGCTCTCCACGTTTGCGCGCACGTGCGCTCGAGGCCCCAAGGACCGGAGGAAACTGGTGCACCGAATCTGCCATGACTTAGCTATGGCATACGTCCGAGCACCATGGTTCGGGTAATTCAGCCTCCAACGCTTTTACTAGGGGAACAAAAAGTGACATAAACATAAAAACTTGGAGGTCCGCGCGGATTTATCGGATCGGCGCTGGGGCCCCCCGGCGGCGCCTCCGGCGCCGCCCCTGGCGCGCTCCGCGCGCCAGGGAGGGGGGGTCCAGCGCCGATCCGTGAAATCCGCGCGGACCTCCGAGTTTCTTTGCTTATGCCACTGTTTGTTCCACTCTTTCCATCAGAGGCGACCTGGACATGCCGCGGCCTGCGGGGGATAGCTCTGGTTCCGACGACCCTGCGGCTCCCACGCTCACGGCCGCCACAGGCCCGCTGCTCTGGACCCGGCCTCTGCGGCCCGACCCGCCCGAGCCACGCCCCTGCAACGCAGCCGCCGCGGACGAGCCTACCGGGCAGGCACGGCGGCCACAGCGGGTCGGGCGAGCATGGGAGGATATGCCGGCGGCGGCGCGGGCGGCGGCCCGAAACCCGTGAGGACGGCCGCGGGGCCCACGCCCCACGCCTCCGGGCTGGTGCTGACCTGCGGCGCTGCGCCGGGCGCGTGCCGCCGCTGCTGCGCATGCTGCTGGGCCAGCGCCGAGGCCGCATCCGCGGCGAGACCCGCGCCCTGCTTGTGCGGCGGGTGCTGGAACTTGCAGGTGTCCTGGTACCTGCACCAACCCTTGTTCTTCCAGTGGCAGCAGACCATCCCGCTCTTCTCCCCGGCGGGCCTCGCGCCCGCGCCCGTGGCGCCGCCGCGCCTCGGCCGTGCCGAGGGCGGAGGCGGCGGTGCACCGCCCCTCTCGGAGGGCGTTGGGCTCGAGGCCTGGCTCGAGGCCGCGGACGGGGCCGCGCTGGCCACCGAAGGCGGGGACGCCAGCGCGACGTCCCCGGGGCGGCCCGCTCCGAGGCGCAGGGTGACGACCGTCTGGCCGCCCTCGTGCCGCACCTCCACCTCGAGGCCGCCCAGCGCCCCACCGGCGAGCGGGTGGCCCGGGCACAGCCGCAGGGGGACCTGCAGCAGGACCTCCCGCGCGGGCTCCTGGGGCAGCAGGCTCGCGGCCCTGGCCGCGGGCGAGTCGCCCCACGGGGTGCTCTCGAAAAGGCACGGGGCGGCCTCCTCCGCCCGCGGCCCCCGGGGCTCCGGGCGGGCGGAGCAGACCTGCGCGGTCCAGGCCCCCACGCTCCAGGTCTGGGCGAGCCGCGGCGACTCCGCGAGGTCCTCGCTGGAGGACACGTCCAGGAACGTGTTCTTGACCGTGACGCTGCGCTCGTCCCCAGCGTCGGAGGTCGCCTCGCTGGAGCCGCCGGAGAGGAGGCCCGCGGCCGCGCGGCGGGCGGCGGGCAGGCCGGGGCCCTCCTCGGCGGCGTCCGGCGGGAGCAGGCGGGAGCCGCGCCGGACGATGGGCAGAGTCGTCGGAGGCAGCGGCATGGGCAGCTCACTGGGCGCTGGGTGTGGGTTTCGGTGCGGTGGGCCTCGCTAGCCGCTCTTGAGCCAGCATGAGCCAAAGTGGCCACGGAGCCATCTTGAGCAATCTTGGAGGTCATCTTGGGCTCCCTGAGGTCCTCTTGGAGCCGTCCTGGGCCATCTTGAACGCTCCAACGACCCGCAAACCAACCCTCCAGTTCCACGAGAAGGGGTTAGGGAGAGGGGTGAACCCCTCCCCGAAAGAGAAGAAGGGGGTTGGAAGAGAAAGCTCTCTAGACCACATTAGGAGGCCACGTGCGAACCCTACCCCACCACCCCACGATTTCTAAGTGAGGAGGGGGGGAGAATTCGCGCGTGGCCTCTTACACCTACGCCCAGAGGGTTGGCGTGATTTCGCCGCCTGTAGAAAGGGCAGCATCCCGACTCAAGTAAACCACGTTGGCGAGGGGGCCCTGAAGGTTTCAATTACCCTGATACAGCTTAAAGATGGGACTTCGGCACCAGCTCATCCCAGTCAATCCTCCCCCTCCTCCCCCATCCGAATCCCCCTCCCCCATCCACCTCCCCATCTCGCATCCTCCAGTTTCTGCATCCTCCGTTCCCTTCGTCCTCGTCCTCCTCCTCGCTCGCTCGCTCGCTAACCTAAGGGCAAATAGCTTCGAAGCTCATACCAAAGGGAAGAGAGGAAGGCGGAGACAGCATGATTGAAGAAGCTAACCCCCATCATGCACGTGCAGAGGCAGAATAATAATACACAGATCACTCACCGCCAATGTCTGCATTCGGCGGCGGCAACATGCCGTCCATCATCGCCAGCTCCTGCTCCTGCTCCTGCTCCTCCTGCTCCTCCTGCTCCTCCTGCTCCTGTTCCTCCTGTTCCTCCTGTTCCTGCTCCTCCTGCTCCTCCTGCTCCTCCTCCTCCTCCTCCTCCTCCTTCTCCTCCTTCCTCCTCCTTCTCACCATCACCACCACCACCACCACCTCTTCCTCCTCCTCCTCCACCTCCACCTCCTCGCCCTCCTCCTCCTCCTGGTCCTCCCCACCACCTCCGCACCCCACCTGCTCTCCGTGCACGCGCCTCAGCATCCCCGTCTTTGCCCGCTTCCTCCATCGCCAGCCGCGCGAAGCAGGCCCCGAGGCCGCCCGTGCCAGCCGGCTCCAGTCGCGCGTCGTGCAGCCGCCAGCGCCGGCCGGCGCAGCGCCCGCGCGCCCCCGCAGGGCACCGCAGCCGCCGCAGCGCCTGCGCGGGCGGTGCCTCGTGCCGCCGCGCCGCCGCGCGTGCGGGCGCGGGCGGCACGGCGCCGACGGCGGCGCGCAGGGCGGAGGCGGCCAGGCAGGCCTCCAGCGCCTCCTCCTCCTTGCCCCCGGCGTCGGGCGCCCGCCGCCGGGCCGCGGCCGCGAGCAGGCGCGCCGTGGCGGCCAGGAGCGCGACGAGCGGCGACAGGTGGCCCGCGGCGCGGCACACGGCGGCGGCGCCGCGCAGCGTGGCCAGCTCAGGGGGCACCCGGAGGCCCGGCAGGCTGGCGACCAGCGCCACCGCGGCGCGCCACTTGCCCGGCATGTGGTGCAGCAGCGCGTTGGCGCACACGGCGGAACGCTGCGGCCCCGCGGCCAGGAGGGCCGCCAGCTCCCACGCGCGACCCTTCGCGCAGGCGCTCACCGCGGCGTTGCGGCCCTGGGTGCTGGGCCGCGAGCCGCGGCAGGGCGACGCCAGCAGCAGCACGAGGGACCGCTCCCACTGCGCCCCGCTCTCGCACGAGCTCACCGCCGCGTTGAAGGCCACGGCGTCCGGCCGCACGTCGAGGGACTGCATCTCATCAAGCAGCGCGAGCGAGAGCTCCCATTGCCGCTGCCGTTCGCACGCCGTGATGGCGGCGCTGTAGCTGACCACCGTGGGGACCAGCCGCCTCGCGCGCATGAGGAATAGCAGCTGGAGCGCCTCGCGCCAGCGCCGTGCCTTGCCGCACGCGCTGACCGCCGCGTTGAAGGAAATCGTATCGGGGGCCACGCGCAGGGAGTCCAGCGAGAACAGCAGCAGCACGGCTCGCTCCCACTGCTTGCCCTTCTCGCACGCGCTGATGGCCGCGCCACAGCACCGGATGTTCGGCGCCAGCCCCCTCGCCAGCAGCTCGCCCAGCAGCTCCAGCGCCATCGCCCACTGCCCCGCCAGCTCGCAGGCGCCGATGGCCGCGCTGAAATGCACCATCGCGGGGCCCCACGGCTCGCGCAGCGACCCGCGCAGCAGCCCGAGGGCGGGCTCCCACTGAGAGGAGGCGCGGCACGCGGCGACGAGGGCGGTGTAGAGCACGGCGTCGGGGCGCACGCCCCCCCGGCGTGCCAGCCGCAGCGCCTCCAGCGCAGCCTCCCAGCGCCCGGCGCGCCCGCACGCCTCGACCGCCCAGAGGCCACCCGAGGCCGCCCCCGACGACAACGACGACGACGACGACGACGACGACGACGACGACGACGAGGACGACGAGGACGACGAGGACGACGAGGACGACGACGGCGGCGACGACGACGACGACGACGACGGCGACGACGACGACAACAATAGCGTCTACGACACCAGGACGAGGACGAGGACGAGGACGAGGACGAACGAGGACCACCAGGACCACCAGGACGGCGACGACGACAATAGCGTCTACGACAATGACGCCTGGACCGCCAGGCACCACTCCACGGTGTCGTTGCCGTCGTCGCCGTCACCGTCGACGTCGTCGTAATTCAACCGTGGCGACGAAGAGCCTCCCAGAGGCCCGAACAGTGCGACAAACGTGAAGAAACCTCATCCCCGCAAAATTCGAACCTCCTTCTCTTTCCGTACATGTCCAAGGGTACGTTTTGGCCTGAATTCCTACAATATTCCAAACGTGGCTACGAGAAGCTTCCCGGAGCTGCAAAAGAAACGGCACGCCCCCCCCACCCCCCCACACACACACACACACACACACACACACACACACACACACACACACACACACACACACACACACACACACACACACACACACACACACACACACACACACACACACACACACACGCCCACACACAAGCAAACACGCAAGCAAGCAAGCAAGCAAACAAACAAACAACCAAACAACCAAACAAATAAACAAACACACATGAAACAATAAAACCACAATAACAAAATATACCGAAGCATCTGCTTCATGGCGGCGATGCCGACGGCAGCCGCCGCCGCCGCCGCCACCGCCACCGCCGCCATCGCCGCCACCATCGCCGTCGCTGTCGCGCGCCTGAACCGCCAGGCAGCACTCCACGGCGCCAAAGGCCGCCGCCTCGCCGGGGGCCCCCGCGGCGGGCCGCAGGGCCGCGAGGGCCTCCTGCCACCGGCCGCCGCGGGCGAGGCCCCGCAGGCGCGCGGCGAGGTCCATGCTGGGAGCGGCCGGCGGCGGGGCGGCCGCCCCGCGCGGGCCTCCCCGGCGCGGCCCCGGCGGGGCGCCCCGTGCGGTCCGGCGCGGGCGCGCGCGCGCGCGCCCCGCCTCGGGCCATGGCGGCTGCGGGCAGCATGGGGAGCCGGGGAGCCGGTGGGCGAGCAGGCGCGAGCGCGGTCGGTGCCCGCGCCGGAGGCAGGGGGCGCGCTGCAGGAGCCGCCTGGAACGCCCTCTGCAGATGGGACTCCTGGAGCGCACTCGTCGAGGCGGCCGAGTGGCCCTGGAAATTTTGGCCAGAGCGCACCCGCAGGACAAATCGGGCGGCCGACTTCTGACCCCGGCGCCCCCCTCAGGAAAAAACCCTCGCATCGGAGCAAACATGTCAGCCATCACTGACTCTGGATAGAATCGTCGACCCTACCCTTGTTTACTCGAATCTACTCTACTCTACTCTACGCTACGCTACTCTGAACATTCTACACTACCCTATACATTACCCCGCGCAACACTATTCTACTGTAAAACATGTGTCGCCCCTCCTCCACAAAAACCGACCCGGCAAGCGCCGCCAGTAGAGACGCCTCCTCAAGCGCCGCCGCCCGCAAGGAGCGCCTCCCAGGCGGCGTCCTCGTCTGCCGCCCCGCCCCCCGCAAACAACCCTGGCATACCGCAACGCTACGACGCCAGATCTCCACGCCAAGCCGCTAGCGAAGCCGCCGTTCCAGAAGCCGGCTGTCTGCGAGGCCCCTCCGCCGAGCCGCGCGCCTCGCCAGATGGGCCACTCGCGCGCCGGTTCCTTCTTCAAGGCGGCCGTAGCAGGTGAAGACCAGTGGTTCGTAATCCAAGCCTTGCTGCCGCGGCTCTTCCACTTCGGCTGGCCCAGGTCGGCGTACCTTGGCAACGCACATCCCAGCCGCGCAATCGAAGCCGGCGGCGGCCGAGAGAGGAGTCGTGATCCCGGCGTCGAAGTAGTCGCAGCCACCGTCTGGGGGCGCGGCGGAGGAGAAGCAGGTCGGCAGGACGAGCGTCCGTACACGACTCTACGCTACCATGCGCTGCTCTACTCGACCCATGTCTACTCCACTCTACAATGCTTTGCTCTACTCCTGCTGTGTTAGACCCGGCACTACTATAAAACCTACTCTACTCTGTTATACTCTGCCTGACCCTACTATGCTAGGCTCTACCCTACAGTAGCCTAACCTACTCTGATATACTCGACTCCTACTATATTCTACTTTACTCCACTCCTACCCTACTCTACTCTACGCTGCTCTACTCTACTCTAATATACTCCACTCCTACTCCACTAAAGTCTACTCCAAATCGACCTCTCTGTAAAAGACTCGTCTATTCTACTCCACCCTAGCAGACGAACCCACGCGGGAAGCAGAGCAAACCATGCGAATAGTTTAAGCGAAACCGTGCGGATAGCAGAGGAAACCATGCGGAGAGTTCGATGATTGCAACGGCAAGATAAGGGTGGCAGTAGACCATTGTGTTACGAATTGAGCTTGGACTCCTGTAGGCAAGCCTATTTGGAGAACCGCGGCGGAACATGATCGGATATTTCCGGCCACTGAATGTCTTTGCAAAGCAAAAGGGCCAGCAAAACGACTCAGGATAATTACCCCAACGTCGACACAAAATTTGATTGCGCAAAGCACAACTGGCCCA